TTCAAATAAAGAAAAGATCTAAGGATCAGTGTGCAGTCTTTAAAAAATATTTTATTATTTTTATTTTTTGTGTATCAATGTATTGCCTACATGTGTCTAAGTGCACCTGTGTCATACAATGCCCAAAGAGGTCAGAAGAGGACATCAGATCCCCTGAAACTGGAGTTACAGATGGTTGTTAGCCACCATGTCAGTGCTGAGGCTTGAACCCAGATCCACTGCAAGAGCAGCCAGTGCTCTTAACTGCTGAGCCATCTCTCTATCCCTGATTGTACAGTCTTGAAGGTCAGGCAGAAGATTAAAAAGAATGTTTTTGTAATGCAAGTCTTGTATGTTTTGGTGACAGTCATGATTTAATGAACGTTTCATTTGAATAAAATCTTTTTGACAGTTGTCTCTCAGACAGTTTGGAAATAGAAAACAAAAATAGCAGCATTGCCATGATCTACATTCTTAGTGGTAAGGATTGAAGTGACAGGCTAGCTTAGGTAGGAAAGAGCAATGTGAAAGGTAGTTCCAATATAGCATTATCTGAATGTTTCCTTACTGAATACCTACTATGATTTGGACTGTCCTGTGTCTTGGAGGCTGTTATGCTGGGGCTAAAGAAAGCCTTTGTTCCCTTGAAAAAGAATCTGTGAGCACTGTCAGGTCCATAAGGAAATACAATTTTGGGGAGCTCTTCACATTTTTTATTGGGTGGGGTTTTTTGTTTGTCTTTAAAGATTTATTTTATTTTTTGTGTATGAGTGTTTTGCCTACATATACATATATGCACCATGTAGGTGTCTTGTGCCTGCAGAGGCCAGAAGAGTGCATCAGATCCTCTGGAACTAGAGTTACAGATGTCTGTGAACCACAATGTAGGTGCTGGGAACCAAACCCAGTCCCTCTGCAAGAGTAGCAAGTACCCAACCACTGAGCCATGTCTCCAGCACCTGTTTGGAGACAGGGTCTCACTACATGCATGCCTCAGACCAGACCAACTCACTACTTAGCCAAGGCTGGCCACAAACTCACAATCTTCCTGTCCCATCCTCCCAAGTGCTGGGATTGCTGGCATGTGCTACCATACTCAGCTATACCTCAGTTTCTAACCTGATATTAGGTCTGTGACTGAATTTTATGCTTAAAGATTTGCAATTCTTTTTTCAAACTCTGTTGTGTTCTTGATGATCTAGACTGGTGGCCAAGGTCGGGTGTTAGCTAAATAATCTTCCTGAAACAAAGTTGAACACTTTCTTTGACTTTCCTTTAGGAAAGGATTTATTCATCATGCAAACCATCATCTTCTACACTCAGCCCTAGAGGTCCTTACCAGCCGACTGAAGCAAATAGAGCAGGAACAACCATTGGAGGAACTGGTCAGGTGGGTCAGACTGCAGATCCTAGTGTGTTCCCAAAAAATTCCTAGAACTGGATTGGCAGAATTTCTTTGAAAAATGTTCTATTTCTCTCAGTAGTTGTAAGTAAAATTTATATTTAGCAGCTACTTTTCCTCACCATATGTACTTTTTTCACATTTATTCTTTTTGTTGGGTGGGGGGAACAGGGTTTCACTATGTAGGTCTGGCTAGTCAGGGACTCAGTATGTACATCAGGCTGGCCTCAAACTCAGAGATCCACCTGTGTCTGCCTTCTGAGTGTTGGGGTTGAAGGCATACACTACCACACCCGGCCCTATTTTTTCTTTTATTTATGTCTCTGTTGAGTGTATGCCATGTGTAGATGAGTACCTGTAGAGCTGTAGAGGCCAGAAGAGGATGTCAGATCCCCTGGAATTATAGGCTGTTGGGAGCAAGTGGTCTTAACTGTTGAGCCCCCTTTCTAGCCTCTCTATTTTTTTTTTTTTTTTTTAGATAGGATCATGCTATATAGCCTATGCTGGCCTCAAACTGACCATCCTCCTGCCAGCTTCCTCACTGCTGAAATTACAGGTGTTTGCTACCACTCCTTACTCCTAGTCAGCTCTTGACTATCCAGGGACCAATTCTGTCTTCTAGCAGTGTTGAATATGTAAGCAGATAGTTATGACTAATGGTCAGTCTTCTTCCCCAGTGTTGGAGGAAGAACATATATGGTGAGGTCTAGACCAGCTAGGGCTACACAAGACCCCACCTCATGTCCCTCCCTGCCACCCCAATAACAAATGATTTAAAAAAAAAAAAATACGGTTTCAAGTAGTACCGTAGTTCTTGGGCTTCTTGGTATATGTGACCCTTCCAGGTCAGATTTTGTCTACAAGGCTTACTTCTGCTCAGCTTTCTCCATAAGAGCTATTTTTCCTGTCAAGATGCTTGAATGAAAAATTGGAATTAAAGCACCTCAGGTTGACAGCCTTGGCAACAGGTACCTTTACTTGCTGAGCCATCTCGCTGGCCCACCACTACATACTAAAAGAGGACTTGGGTACCTCACATGCATATAAAGATATCTTTTTTTTTTTTTTTTGAGAGAGAGGGTCTCCCTGTAGCCCCAGCTGTCCTGGAACTCACTAGTAGACCAGGCTGGCCTTGAACACACAGAGATCCACCTGCCTCTGCCTCCTGAGTGCTGGGATTAAAGGCCTGCACCACCACACCTGGCTATAAAGATATCTTTAATGCATGTGATGCTGTAAAGATATCTTTAATCTGGGGCTGGGGAGATGGCTCAGCAGTTAAGAACACTGACTGTTCTTGCAGAAGACCTGGGTTTGAATCCCAGCACCCATATGGCAGCTAACAACTGTCCATAACTCCAGTCCAGGGGCTCCGACAGCCTCTCCTGACCTCCTCGGGCATTGCATAACACAGGATACGGGTGCACTTACTCAGATGCGGGCAATACATACATACATACATACACATAAAATAAAAATAATAAAAATTTTTAAAAAGATATCTTTAATCCATGTGATGTTATTGTTTTTTGTTTTGTTTCCTTACAGCCAGAGCTTCAATTACTTGCAAAATTTCCATCACAGCATTCCCAGTTTCCAGTGTGGTTTTCATCTTCTCAGACTTTTGATGGCCCTTCTGGAGAAATCTACAGCACCTACTCAGAAGAAAAACAAACTTGGTGATTAGCTCAAATTCTATTTGGGTTATTTTGTTTTGTTTTTGACGGTGTTTAATGAATAGAATTAATATCTCACACTTGTAAATTTGGGGTTTCCCAGAACTTTGGACATTTTACATGTAAATCCCTACAAAACTATGGGCATACTTTCTTATTTCACCAAAGCAAACATTTTCTCAGAAGGAACTATTCCATTGCTTACTGTAACTGGTTAGATTAATAGGTTTTATAGTTCATCTTGTGCATGTGAGTGTGTGTGTGTGTGTGAGTGAGAGAGAGAGAGAGAGATGCACGTGTGTGTACACACTAAGGATTAAACCAAGTGCTGTACCACTGAGCTACATCCTCAGTCCTTGATAATTTTCTGTTTAGCTTTAACCTTTTTTTAAGACAGGGTCTTGCTATAGCTCTGGCTGGCCTTTCCTAGAACTCTCTATGTAGATCAAGCTGGGCTTGAATTTGTAGCAATCCTCCTGCCTCTGCCTCCCAAATACTAGGATTACAAGCAGTGCTACTACATGCATAAGTCTTAATCTTTCTCTTCCTCCTCCCCCTTCCTTTTTATGTCTTTGTTATTTGATTAAATGATATATAAACCGGACTGGAGAGATGGTTCAGTGGTTTAAGAGCACATGTTGCTCTTGCAGAGAACTTGGGTTCAGTTCCCAGAACCCACATGGCAGCTAGCAACTTTCTGTAACTCCAGGCCAAGGGGATCAAAAGCTCTCTTCTGGTCTCTGTGGGTACTAGGTGCACACATGGTGCACACACATACATATAGGCAAAACATCAATACACATAAATAAAAATAAGTCTTTAAAAAGATATATAAACCATGAAGTAGAAGAAAGAGAAAAATCATAAATAGCAAAGGAAATAATGGCTGCTTCCCTGAACTTTAAAAAAAATATTCATTTTATGTGTATGAATGTATTGCCTGTGTGTATGTAAATGCACCCATGTCATGCAATGCCCACGGAGGTCAGAAAGGGTGTTGGATCCTTTGGAACTGGAGTTATGGATGTTGTTAGCCACCATATGGTGCTGGGAACCCAGCCTGGTCCTTTGCAAGATCAGCCAGTGCTCTTAACCTCTGAGCCATCTCTCCAGCCCCCTGAACTTTTTCTTTAAAGCATATAGTCAGTGATGACATTTTCATACATTTATATAACCTATCTTCCTCCCCTCCTCGCCCCTCTCCTTCCATCTCACTATGTAACCAAATTGGTCTTGAACTAAGTATCCTTTGGTCTCATCCTCCTTGGTCCTGGGTCCTAGAGACCCATTGTTTATGACCTTTTTCTTTATCCTTCATCCTAACTCTTAGAATGGAAATCATGGATTATGTATCTATTAATACATAATCAGAACAAATAGAAGATTATGTGAAAGAAATCTTTTTTCTTAAGATTAATCCATGACGGTTTGGTCTAAAAGGGGAGGCCATGTTTTTATGCTTTGGGACAAGGTCAGCAAGTAGGATATATTGAGTCTTAGACAAATTGGTTTCATTTCTGGAAGAAGCTTAATGAAACAGGAATAAGTTGGCTTTTAAAAAAATGCTTGCTAGACCAGTAGTGGTGCTGCCTACCTATAATCCTAATACCCAAAAGGATAAAGAAGGATTATGAGTTTAAGGCCAGCATAGGCTGCAGTTATGTGTAAGACAGGATCTCATGTAGCCCAGACTGGCCTCAAACTTGCTATGTCTATGCTGAAGATGATCCTGAACTTCTAATCCTCCTGCTACTGCCTCCCAAGTGATGGAATTACAGGTATCTGCCACCATTTCCAGTTTTATGTGGTGCCGGGGATAGAACCTAGGGCTTCATGCATACTAGAGAAACAGTCAACCAACTGAGCTACCTGGCCCAAAAGACCTTGTTAGCCCAAAAACTTAAAATAATAATCCTTTTTTTTTTGGGGGGGGGGGTCTTTTTGAGACAGGATCTCCCTGTAGCCCCCAACGGGCCTGGAACTACCACACCCAACTAAAATAATAATCCTTTTTTTTTTGGGGGGGGGGGTCTTTTTGAGACAGGATCTCCCTGTAGCCCCCAACGGGCCTGGAACTACCACACCCAACTAAAATAATAATCCTTTTTATTAATCTTCCAAAGTCTGAAAGATAAGAAGAGTGTACTTATCTGATCATTACACACTATATACATAATGCTAAAATATCACAGTGTACCCCATTAGTATGAATCAATATTATGTCAGCTAATTGGGGGGAAGGGGTAGTGTATCACTCTATAGCCTGGAATTCAGCTCAGCCTCCCAAGTGTTGAGATTGAACCACCACATGCAACTAACAGTTTTTTTAAAGTTGTGGGGTTTTTTGTTTGTTTGTTTTGGTTTTTTTTTTGAGTCTTTTTGAGACATGGTCTCCCTGTAGCCCCCAACTAGCCTGGAACTTACTATGTAGACCAGGGTGGCCTCAAACTCAGAGATCCACCTGCCTCTGCCTCCCAAGTGCTGGAATTAAAGGCGTGCACTGTCCATAACTCCAGTTCAAGGGGATCCCACAGCCTCTTGTCATCCACTTAACCTACATGCAGGCAATGCATGCATACACATAAAATAAAAATAATAAATAAAATATTTTAAAAAATAGAAAGAATGAGGTCAGCTTCTCACACACACACAAAAAAATACTTTTTGTCTGTTTTCCAATAGCTTCCCTGGCCAAACAACTGCTTTGTCGGGCGTGGCCTCGTGGGGAGAAAGAGAAGAATGCCATTTTTAATGACCAGCTCCATGATTTGCTTTGGTGAGATGTTTGGTTTCTTCTAACAAGCCAAATTGCCTTTTTCCATGTTGCTACTGTTAGGATCCTTCATCTGGACAGAAATTGAGCCGTAATCTCTGTTAGGGGAATTTGAGAGTAATGAAGAAAATTTAAAATGAGCATGGTTTGGAATCTAAGTCTTAAGATGCTCTAATTCTGCTTACTGCTGTCTACTAATTCCTTATTGTTAAATTCAGTTAGAGTAGAGGGGTCTGCAGTTGTGTCCTACCTTGTTAATAGTGACTCACCATGTAGCTAAGGCTAGCCTTGAACTCTTGATCCTCCTGCCTCCACCTCCTGAGGACTGGGATTACAAGTATATACCACCACAGCTCTCTAACTGTATTTCTAATTGAAACTTCTTTATCTCCTGACAAGTAACCGCAATCTTTAGTATTAAAGTAAAAGAAGCTATTTGAGGGGCAGGAGAGATGGCTCAGTGGTTAGGAGCTCTGACTGCTCTTGAAGAGGACCTGGGCTCGATTCCCAACACCCACATGGCAGCTATGAACCGTCCTTAGCTGCAGTTCCAGGAGACTCCGAAGCCCTCTTCTGACCTCCTCAGCATTACACAACTTGGGTGCACTCACATACATGCAGGCAATACACTCATACACATAAAATTAAAATAATAAAATATTAAAAAATTATTTGAAAACAGTATATGGTGGTATCTCAAAAGAAATCTGTTTTGGATTTTAAAAGGTTTATTATTGCTGATAGTATATATGTAATAGTAATTGTTTGCTAATATACTGAATGTTTCTGTGCCTGAGTTCCCGTAGCATATCTTGAATTTCTTTTTTTCTTCCTTCCTTCCTTCCCTTTTTTGTTTTTTTTTTTGTTGTTGTTGTTGCCCTGGGGATTTAACATAGGACCTTGCTGGTGCTACGACCTGTCTTCTTTGTTTACTTTTTATTTGATTGAAGGTCTCACTATATAGCCCTGGCTAGCCTGGGCTATATAGTGGTCACGTTGTAGACCAGGCTGGCCTCAAACCCACAGAGATCTGCCTACCTTTTCCTCCTGAGTGCTAGGAAGCCAACCTGCCTGGCCCTTTTAGGTTTTTTTGTTTGTTTTGAAGACAGGGTCTCCATAGCTCCAGATGACCTGTAACTGCTATATAGATCAGGCTGGCCTTGAACTCACAAAAATCCACCTGCCTCTGCCTCCTGAGTGCTGGAATTAAAGGCATGCACCTCCACGCCTGGCTGGCCCTTTTAGTTTTTATTTTGAGGCAGGGTCTTACTTTGTTGCCCAGGCTGACATTGAACTTGTGATTCACTTCCATCCACCTCCCAAATAACTGGGAATACAGGCCTATACCATTAGGCTTGGCTACTTTTCTTGGCTACTTTTCTTGAATTTCTGAAACCTTATAAGATATTTTCATAAATTAACCACTAGCCATCTGACCTGGTCTTAATGACAAGCCATTGCAGATTGCTTTATGACTCTTCTTTCATAGATTTCCATAGAGTACTTCTAGATATTGAATATAGGTTGGATGGTTACTGTGTTAGTCAGCTTTCTATCACTGAAAAAATTCCTGAGAAAATCAAAAGAGGGAAGATTTGTTTTGGGTTCATGGTTTCAGAAGCTTAGTCCATGATCATTTGGCTCCAGTGTTCTGTGTTGTGGTGAGACAGAATACCACAGAAGGGAGCGTGTAGTGAAGCAGATCTGCTTACATGGTAGCCAGGAAGCAGCTCAAAAGAAATCCTGACAGGAATTCTGTCACATGTTCATACTCCTCTATTGCTCTGTGAAGCATCTATCTGGAGCACACAGACAGTGTTCTGAAGGCTATAGAGGAGATCGCTGGCATTGGTGTCCCAGAACTAGTCAACGCTCCCAAAGATGCATCTTCCTCCACGTTCCCAACATTGACCAGGTAAGAAAGTTCTTGTCTCTAGCTCTTTCCCTAAGGTGGAATCACAATGCCTAATGTGCATAATAACCACTTTTTCCCTCTTAAATCTGGTATAGATGGCAGATAGATTCATTCCTTCATCAGTATAAATCTCCTGTGCATACTTCCAGGTGGCTCTCGGCTGGGGTGTATCAGCTACTTTTCTCATCAGTGTGGCAAAACATCTGACAAACAACCTAAGGGAAGAAGGATTGATTTCAGTTCATGATTTCAATCCATTGTGGCAGGGAAACATGGTCTGGGGAGCAGTTCCATCAGCAGTGGCACGAGTGTTTTAAAAGCAGCAGCTTGTTCACACAGCACAGAACAGGAACTAGAGTCCACAGGTCAAAACCAGGAGTTGGTGTTACCTTCAAAGCCTATACCCACTTCCACCAGCCTTCAAAATAGCTCTGTAAAGCTAGCTAGAAATCTGTGTTCAAAAATGAGCCTGTGGGAACATTTCAGATTGATTCCATAACATAAGGTATATAAAAGGATCTTGTGAAGAAATATAGTATCCATAGTTTTGGTATTCAAAGGCAGTGAACTATTATTTGTATTTTTTTATTTGTTTGTTTGCTTATTTGGTCTTTTTGTTGTTGTTTTGGGGGTTTTGGTCTTTTTGAGACAGGGTCTCCCTGTAGCTCCAGCTCACATGGCACTTGCTGTGTAGACCAGGCTGACCTCAAACTCACAGAAATCTGCCTGCCTCTACCTCCCAAGTGTTGAGATTAAAAGTGTAAGCCACCATGCCTGGCTCTATTATTTTCTGTTTTTGTACGTTAAACTTAAGGCTAGGCCTAATGAATGTTGCCCAGTGATAGTGCGTGCTTAGCATGTATGAGGCCTGGGTTCAGCTCCCAACATCACACACACAAAAAAAAGACAACAAAACAAACTTGAGGCTTTTTCTAGCATTTTAACCATCTTGAGACAAGGTGATTACTGTATCTAATGTTTGTCTTAATGAGTTTGTATTTTACAATATCTTTTACTTATGTAGTTGTTCCATTTTATAAAGCACTGTTAACATCTTCATTTCATTTAATCTTAATAATGCTGTGAGGTATACACATCATTGCCACTTTATTACTGTTGAAGAAAATGAAGGTTAGAAAACTTCTCAAGTCAGTAAAAATGAACATAGAAGCAGGACTCAAACTTGTCTTTCCTCACTGCCTCACTGCTTCTTCTACCACCACAGCATCACTTTTCCTAACATTGTTTGACAGGCCTTTTTCTTGCGCGTGAGCATGCTCTTCCTCTCATGCGCATGCGCGCGCGCACACGGTCTCATCTGACTAGCCTCCTTACTGTGTAGTTGAGGATGATCTTGAACTTCTGATCCTCTTGACTCTACTTCTTCCCTAGTGCTAGAATTAAAGATATTCACCACCATACCTACTTTATGTAGTGTTGGGGATCTGAACCCAAGGCCCTCATGCATGTTAGGCAAGCATTCTTATTAGTTGAGCTACATCCCCACGCTTGGGCTCATTTTTTAATCCTTTCCATTCCCCTTTTTCAGTGGACCCTAGTAAAAGAAGGTCCAGAGAGATAGAGATATACATTACTGTTGGACCCATGACTTCTTCTATGAGGGTTTTTTTGTTTGTTTGTTTGTTTGTTTGTTTTTGTCTTTTTGAGACAGTCCCCCTGTAGCCCCAGCTGCCCTGGATTCACCATGGAGGCCAGGCTGGCCTGGAACTCACAGAGATCCACCTGCCTCTGCCTCCCAAGTGCTGGGATTAAACGCGTGTACTACCACGCCCAGCCTCTAGGAGGTTTTTTGGTTTTGGTTTTGGTTTTTTTGTTTTTTGTTTTTGGGGGTTTTTTTTGGTCTTTTTGAGACATGGTCTCCCTGTAGCTCCAGCTGGCCTGGAACTCACTGTGTAGACCAGGCAGGCCTTGAACTCAGAGATCCACCTGCCTTTACCTCCCAAGTGCTGGGACTACAGGCGTGTGCCACCACGCCCAGCATCTAGGAGGTTTTTTTATAAGCAATACTTCATGTGAGTGTTCATGCCTTTACCTCCTTATAGGTACACCTTTGTCATTTTCTTCCGTGTGATGATGGCGGAACTTGAGAAGACAGTGAAAGATCTTCAGGCTGGCACAGCAACAGACTCACAGCAGGTGGTTCAGACTCTCCCTCACAAAGAATGGATTTTGATTACTTGGACATATCTCTTGGGTGTACAGTTTCTCCTAAGTTATTTCCTTTTATTTACCAAGATCTAGGAGATATTTAAAAAGCTCCTTTTTTGATTTCCTTTCCCCCTAGTGGAGGTGAGAATTGGGCTGTATTTTTCCCTGACTTCTCCACTTGTCACTTTCTACCTGGCTTAATGCATGCCAGCCTGTTTGGGATGCTGTGGGTTTTAGTAATCTGTCAATCAGAATTGAGGTAGACAGCAGTTACCCAGACAATCAAAAGCCACAGAGGTGGCCAGTGGATATGCTGTGGGAACTTTTTACCTACTTGGAAATAATTGATTCCCTGTGAGGTATTCTGGTGTTTTCATAGTATGTATGAACCTTCCATGTGAGCACACTGGTTGCCCCATCTCTTCAAAAGAATAATGAACTGTTTTAGTGGGAGGACAGTAGGACTGTGGTTATGACTCAGAGGCACCTGTGTTTGGCTATCCCCAGGTTCATGAAGAGAAGCTTCTCTATTGGAACATGGCTGTTCGAGACTTCAGTATCCTCATCAATCTGATGAAAGTATGGGGACTTCCTTCCCTGTCTTACCAGCTAACTGCAGAAACTGAGGGTCCTGGTTTCCAATGTTAACCTTTGCTTTCCTCATCCTTCTTTGAGCCTTACGTCCCCTCCTTCCCGACCCCCTACTCATTCTGGGTAACCACTTCTCTCCCTGCCCACTGTCTGTTTTCCTTTTTTTCCCCTCCCACATGTGCCACAGTACTTACCACCTATCTTTGCCTCACTTTCTTGCCTTGGGTCCTCTGATCTGATCACACTCCCTATTCCAGCTCTGAGTGCCATCATAATGCTCCAGACACTGTTTTCTCTACCCAGACTGTCCTGTCAGCTTAGAATGCCATTCTTCTCGCCATCTCTTATAAAATCTTTTAAAGTTTCAGATCAGAGTGTCAGCCCTCTAATAATGCCATCTCGTCAATATCCTCAGTTAAATCAGCTTTTTGATCCCCTCTGTTCCTGTTTTCCTTTTCTTGGACTTAAGGGGGTTTCTTTAGTCTATAAGTTAATTTTTCCATTACACTCTTGTCATGCCTTCTCTTTTTTTTTTCCTTTTTCTTTTTGAGACAGAGTCTCTCTGTAGTCCCAGCTGGCCTGGAACTCACAGAGATCTGCCTGCTTCTGCCTCCCCGGTGCTGGGATTAAAGGCATGTGCCACCTCTCTTGGCATTCATTTTAGAATTTTCTACAGCACACAGAGCTGTACTGTGCACAGTGGGAAAGAGGCTGGGGTACTCAAAGGAGCCAACCTCAGGTTTGATTTCTTGTCTTTCTCCTGTTCAGGTATTTGACAGTTATCCGGTTCTGCATACATGCTTAAAGGTAAGAGATTTTTGGGCTGGAGAGATGGCTCAGCGGTTAAGAACACTACCTGTTTCTTGCGAAGACCCAGGTTCAAATCCCAGCACCCACATGGCAGCTAACTGTCTGTAACTCCTCTTCTGTCCTCCACGGGCATTGCATGACACGGGTGCGCTTACCTACATGCAGGCAATACACATAGACACATAAAATATTTTTTTTAAAAAAAGAAGGTAAGAGATTTCATAAGTCCTGTTTAATATTTTCTTTCTATTGGTCATTTTAGAGAGGTCCTTAGCTGAATTGAATCAATATTGTGTTTGCATTCCAGGATCTCCAAAGTCTATCCTAATTAGGTGGTAGTTTAAGGAAGACAATGGGTAACATTTTTTTTACATTAGTTCACTAGTTGTATAACTAGAAATAGGCAGTTTTCGTAAGAGTTTGTTTTTTTTTTTTTTGGTCAAAATATTAGAATTAGGATAAATGGCTACAGAGCAATTGAGTTTAGGAACAGTACTCAACCCTCCTTGCCATTAACTTCCAGGCAACAGGGAAAAAGGAGTTGTGGAAGGTTTCTCTTTTTAAAGGGTTGTGGCCTGGGATGTAGCTCAGTAGTAGAGAACTTGCTTAGCGTGCAAAAGACCTTAGGTTTGGTCCTTAGCATTACAAGACAACTGAAAAAAGCCCTTAGGGTGGTTTGTGAATGTGGGAGCTGATATTCTGATAATGCCTGATCCCTGTCGCATGGGGATATCCCAGGTTGACTCTAGATTTGATGTTAAACCCAAAAGGAATGTCATGGGGAGAATGCTTCTTCCCTATTCCATTCTCCTTCCAAGTGCATGGTTCCCCATTCTTGGTACTGTGTGACCCTCACTCACTTCACCCTGGAACAATATAGAAGATGGGTGAATTGGAGGAGTGATTTCTTTTATTGGAAATTGGCCATGTATTCCCTTAGTCCTCTGCAGTTTCTTCCTCTTAAGGATGAGTTATCCTCAGGGAGCTGGAGTTCCAGCTGGTCATCTGTTCTCATTCATGAGCTGAGCAAGGGCTCTGGCTATTGACTGTGCCTAGGGTAGATAAGTCTGCCTCATTCTGGAGCTGAGTTATTTAGCAGTCCTATTTATTTTTCATACTTAGTTATATCCTCCAAATTAGCCTTTTGGATCACCCCCCCCCTCCAATTCATTTAATGACAAGCCAGGGGCTTTTCAGGTGAAAGTCCTCAGCCAGATCTCACCAATGTGTCTCTTTCTTCAGTATGGACGGCGCTTTGTGGAAGCGTTTCTGAAACAGTGTATGCCGCTCCTAGACTTCAGTTTTAGAAAACATCGGGTAAGAGCTGAGGGCAGAGAGCCAAGGCATGCCCTGAAGAGTTTTGCAGAAGATATATCTGTGGTGATTCCTTAATTGGGGGTAGGGGTAGGAGTAGTGTGTTGCCCATGATCTGGGCCACAGTTCTACTTGAAACCATGTCAGCTACAGCCAGAAGTGCCTAATTAAGCTGAACCTCTCAGATCCCTCTGGTGCAAATCCACTTTTATTCTTCTCCCCCAGATTTGAGGGTTTGTTTCCTTTAACTTGGTTTTATTGTGCAAAGTAGGATCTCCTGTGTCATTGTGTCATTGTTTCTTTTTTTATGCTTCTCTGTCTTAGAAAAGTAAAAATAGAGTTCATGGGCTTGGGGTGGAGCTCATTGGTGTGGAGCACAAGTGTGTACTGGGCCCTGAGTTCCTTCATCCCTAGCATTGAAAAAAAAAAAATTCAAGAAGCTGCTTGCATTATAAAACTCTTTGCTGTTATAATGAACAGTCTTCGTAGTATTTTTAGCCAACTGGCACTCAGGGCTAGCACAGTGAATTCTGGTAATTTCTTTTTTAAAATTTATTTCACAATTTCATATATATGTGTGTGTGCATGTGTATGGATAAAATGTACTTTGATCATATTCCTTCTCCCATTATCCTCTCTTACCCTTTCCTCCTCCCACTGAAATAATTTCTTACACGTATTTAGCAAGTTGAACTTTACAAAATACCCGTATTTAGTTAGTCCTTCATAACTATGGAAAAGAAAAAAGAGGTGGTATCTTATTCAAATTTACAGATGGAAAACTTGAGACATGGTACCCTACTTAAAATTGCAGTCTAATTCACAGCTATCACACCAGCACTACAGAAGTAGACATAGGTCTCTAGCTGACAGATTGATGCTAGGGAAAGGAATAAAAAGACTTGGAATTAACACCTAGCTAGCTTAGCACTCCTGTGTGAAGGTCAAATTCAGATGATTATTGATGTAAGCTGGGACTTGTAGGGTTTACCCTCCCTGGAACCCTTGTTGCAAGAAATCTTGTATCTAAAATGAAATTAGAACATTGTCCCAGGACATTTATGAATTTTGTTGTTTTTAGGAAGATGTTCTGAGCTTGCTGGAAACCCTCCAATTGAACACAAGACTTCTACATCACCTTTGTGGGCATTCCAAGGTAAGAGGGGAGCAGTTCGCACTATGTAGCATAGCTCAGGCTGGTCTTGAACTCAAGACGCTCAGCTTCTCTCCTAGGATTATGGACATGGGCCACCAGACCCAGCTTGCACCCCTTTTCTGAGCCTTTCTCTCTGGGCCTAGGTCCAGACTCAGTTTATTCAGAGTAGGCAAATCCCTAATTGCTTGATGAGATTGGTCAATTATCTAGAGGGAAAGTTTTATATCTGAAAATGAACTCAAATTCCATAGCCCTATTTCCTCTAGAAATGCTTCTTAGCAAGAAAGTGCATTGCTAGCGTACCTGTAATCCCAGCAATAGAGAGGTTGAAGCAGGAGGATGGAATTAGAGGCTAGCCTGGACTACATTGCAAGCAGCCGTCTCAAACCTAAAAATAAAAAACCTCTTCTTGGGTGAGGAGAGTACAGAATGCTGCTAGATAAATTACTGTTACAAAATACTGGTAGTGGGAGGGATGTTACATAAGGTATGGTTTCAGGGGCATAGAAGTATTTCTGAAGCAGCTGTCTTAGAGCTTTTAGCTATACTACATGGCTGTTTGTGAGACTATTTTAGCATTAAAGGACTTTTCCAATTGAAACTTAGAGTTGATGAACCATTGTCACCTTTGTCTGAAGGAACATAGAAACCTAGATTTAGATAATCACTGGCCAACCAAATGATTGTATGGGCCATTTCTTATCATTCATTTCCTCCTCTGTTTTTATGTTTAGAAGGAGCTGAACTGGAATTTTAAAGACTCAAAGCTAACCAGAGCTACTTTTTTTTTTTTTTTTTTTTGTTCTTTTTGAGACAGGGTCTCCCTGTAGCCCCAGCTGGCCTGGAACTCACTTTGTAGACCAGACT